AAGAGCATAAGAAGAGAAAGAGGAAGATAGAGAGAGAGAGAGAGAGAGAGAGAGAGGGAGAGAGAGAGAGTTGACCAAAGAAAAAAAAAGACGAAAAAGTGAGAGAGAGAGAGAGAGAGAGAGAGAGCGCAGTTAGAGGAACGAAAAGGAATCTTCATGGCCATAGAATTTTCCTTGTAGCCTGAATTAAACGACGAAATTCTCGACTTTCGCGTTTCTCTACGGGCGGGAAAACGAGCTCGTCTTCTACGACGACGTCTAGAATCGAACATAGACGAAGAAAGGAAATTCGAGAGCTCGTAGTTCTCTCTTTATTCCGAGAGAACAAAACGAAATGTTTGACGAATGTATTCTATAACTATCTAATCTAGAGGATACTTTTTATAAAACGTTTTTCGTTAACGTGAAAATATTCATGTTCTTAATTTCTTCTTTTTTTCTTTTTTTTTTGTCATCGATCTCGTCCTACTTAACGTAAAAAATTGATCGATTTTACATCGATTAAATTACTTATTTAATGACATAGGTAAATTAATTAATAATTGACGTTCAAGAATTTTCTTAAATCTATCCCATCTTGGAGTAAAAATATATAATTAAATTGATTGATCTTTTTTACATCTATAAATTTCTTTTATATAGATATATCGATTATTACTTATTAAATGACAAGAAATTAATTATAATTAAAAATAATTTTATATATATATATATATATATACACGATATGAAAATGATGTTCTTATTCAAGAATTTTCGTAAATCTATGCAAGTTCGAATTACTCGGAAGGAATGTGTTCTATCCTAAAAGTTTCGCGTTTATAGTAAGCTCTCGGATATTATATGAGATATAAGGTAGGATGGCGATGCCTAAGCGATGGTTTTCCTTGAAGGACCCTTGAGGCAACCTCAAGGATGCATAAGGCGCCAGGATATAGGCTGTATATATAGGCTCGCGTAGAGGTAGGTAAGTACAAGGGAAGCCTTTCGAAAGTGCACCCCCAACTGGTTCTCTCGTCTACGCCTATTGGTTGTAAACGTTGGAGCCATATGTCCGAGATATGGAGACGAGGGGAGGGAAGGGGGAGGGCCTTACGTACGTCCTAAGAATCCATTTCTGGCGGACATCGATCGGGGTAATAAGTTACCCCAACTGTTCGCGTTATCGTTCAACGAGAAATTCGTGGCTTTCGAATTTACGAACATAAGAGAATTCGTTTTTATATCGCGATCGATGGAAATGAATTCAAAAGGTTTTCTTTTTTTATTATTATTTCTTCACGTTGACTATTAATTTCAATGTCGAATCATTATTTATCGATTCATACGATTTATACGTATTTGTAAATATAACGTGGAACGATATAAAGTAATTCAATTTCCATTGGTCCTGAATGAAAAAGATAAATGAGAAGAAAAATGACATTAGCGATAATCCCGATGACGTTAAGGATATTACTCGTAAATTATTGAAAAACATCTTGAACAACACCGCTCTCTACCATCCACCAAATCTACCTCCTCCCCTAGCTTCCTATCTTAGTCCTGCGTCATGCTCCGGCCCAAAAAGGATACGCGTTGGGTTCATTAAGAGACCGTGAATATATTTGGTAATTTAGCAGTGTACTTACCGCACGTCGACCTCTGACACTGGAATACTACATGGAAACCTTTCGACGGTAACATTCCAGTAAGCCGTACGTCCTACCGCGTCGTTAATTTTGACTCTCCCATCGTACTTTACAATTTCTCAAATGTACCGAGCAGAAACGAATTCGCTTGCATTCATCATGCCCGGGACAGACGTCTTTTCGTGTTGACGCGACGAAAGTAGTAGAAGTGCTAACACGGGTTTTGAGCTTATAAAACAGTACTAGCTACGCTTGCTGAATCTTTCGACTAACGTTATGTGTTACATTAAATAGGTCAATTTGAAGTTAGTTAAATATGTATGTACATATGTACGTAACATACGTACGTACGTATGTATCTACTCAGTTAAATTACCGTACACGTTATGATAGGACAGCCGAATCGTGCTAATTAAGACGACGAATAGAAGGAAAAAAGAGAAAAATAGAAAGAGGGAGAGAGAGACAGAGTGAATGAGTGAAAGTGTGTGTATGCGTGCGTGTGTTTTACACGCTGGATTCAGAAGTAACCAGAACGCGAGTTCATTTTCGAATACAATAACTAACTCTTAGAATTCGTATATTGAGATACGTGTATATTTATTGCGAATACCGTAGATGGTAATTCAAGATACAAGATTTTTAAAAATATAAAATAGAAATGTGTACGCGTATGTGTACGTATATGTGTTGTTACGTGCTACGTTGACGAGTAACCAAGACATCCATCGTGAATAAAAATGAATAACTTCGGGAACTACATTTTTATCGTAGTGGTGATTGTCGAGAGGAAGATTTTTCGAAAATGATGAACAGATTTTTGATTGTGTAATCAGATCGGAAGTCGAAAATTATCTTCTGTGAGTTTGTAAATGTTAATAAAAGTACATTGATGGAATAAAAAAATGAATAGGGTAAGAAAAAGGGCTTATAGAGAACGAGAAAATGTGAATAAGGATATAAGGGGTAAGTTTTGCGATGTAATAGGGGATTGACATTTTACGATCTTTATAATGTGTCCAATAGTTACTATAATAATGATAATAATAATAATAATAATTTAATAATAATAGTAATAATAATAATAATAATAATAATTTAATAATAATAGTAATAGTAATAATAATAATAATAATAATAATAATAATAATGAAGACAATGGCAAAAATAATAATGATACATGATAATGGATGTATGATAATGACGATAATAAGAATAATAACAACCTTAAAAAATAATAATAGCAATGTAGGGATAGATACAATGGAGTATAACAGAGAGAGAGAGAGAGAGAGAGAGAGAGAGAAAAAGAAAGAGAAAGAGAGAGAGAAAAAGAGAGTCAAGGACGAAAGGAAACGAAAAGGATTTACCGAGTTGTGTTCAATTAAAAGAAAATAGAACATAATCCCCGTTGCTTGGGAATACAGTATATACACACACATACACACACATACACAGATATATATATATATATATACATAGTTCCACAAATTTATTTTAATCCTTCGCTGGTATGTATGTAGCACCGTTGGAGTATTAAGCGTTCCATTTATAGAACTAGGACTATAGAGATAAGCGAGCCACTCTCGTCCTGCTCATGTGTTTCTTTCTTCCTATCTATCTTTCCTTTTTTTTCTCCCTTTCCTGTCCTTTCCCTTCTTTCTAATCGTCCTTCCTTTAATTTTCCCTAACGCGTCGAGACCGTATGAATAATATAATAACACGTTTTTCTCCCTTTTTTTCTTCTTCTTTTCTTTTTCTTTTTCTTTTTTTTTGTCTCCTTTTTCTTTTTTCCTAATCTTACACACGCATCGTATATCTGTGTTTCATAAATATATTATGATATTATCGGTATTAATACAGAAATAAAAGAGAGAGAGAGAGAGAGAGAGAGAGAAAGAGAGAGGAGTAAGATAAACGAAAGAACTTTCTTAAGAGGGAAGAAGAGAGAGAGAGAGAGAGAGAGAGAGGGAGGGATAGAAAGAGGAGCAAAAAGAAAGAGAGACAGAGGGAGAAAAAAAAAGAAGAAGTAAAAATGGAAACTGTATAACTTGATTCGTTTTATGACAATAGAAAACGGTGAATCGAACAAACGTTAAAATATATAAAATAAAGGAAGAAAAGGAAAGAAAAAAGAAAAGGTATCTTACAGAGAGAGAGAGAGAGAGAGAGAGAGAGAGAGAGAGAGAGATAGAGAGATAGAAAAAATAAGGAAAAAAAAAAAGAAAAAAGGAAAAAGAAAGAATCTCTTCTTTTATCTCGTTAATTAAATGGGATCCCTGCGTAGCGAGCCTGAAGGATCACGAAATCGCGGCAAGTTTTATGCTTTTTCTCCCGTAGGTTGATCAACATCAAAGTACTCCGTCGTAAACCTTTACGAAGGTGAACTTCGCTCTCGTTCACTTCGCATCAAGTGCTATAGAGAGAAGAAAGGAGAACCTTCGAAATAAGAAGTTTCACGATCGTTGATGTATCGGGATATTTGATTTGTGGATAGGAAAAGAGTATAAAAGAGAGAGAGAGAGAGATAGACAAAGAGAGATAAAAAGAAGGAGAAGGAGAGTGAGTGAGTGAGTGAGTGAGTGAGTGAGTGAGTGAATGAATGAGTGAGTGAGTAAGAGAGATAGAAAAAAAAAAAAAAAGAAAGAAAGAAGAGAAGAAGACGAAGTCGAAGAGAACAATTTGAAGGCTTACACGCAAGGTGCTTCTTAAAGCGAGTATACGATACTGTTCTCTTTCTTTCTCTCTCTTTTTCTCTCTCTTTCTCACTCTCACTTAACTCTCTCTGTCTTGTGGCAGCTGGTTCGCATAAACGTAGGAAACACTAAACTCCAGGCCTCGACTTTGAACGACCGTATCGCCGAGCGCCTTATTTTTAATAAAAACTACGGATAGAGGAAGGACGGAACGGACGTATGAGACTAGACCTACGAACGATGAGATTAAAAAGTAACCAAAAAAAAAAAAAGAAAGCAAAAAACAGAGAGAGAGAGAGAGAGAGAAGAAAAGAAAAAATCGAAGGAAAAGGAAGAGAGAAGAAAGTGAAAAAACGAAAGAAACGACGAAATATCCGATGGGTTTCTCTTTTTCTTTTGGTTTTTTTTTTTCTTTCTTTTTTTTTTCTCTAAGAACAATCTACATATATCCGTACACGTACACGAGAGTAGTATGGATATATGAATAGTACATAGGGAATAGTACTATATGTTTCGTTATATGTTTTAGTGCAATTTCCGATTTCCTATTGCTTTTATTTTTTCTTTTCTTTGTTTCTTTTTTCTTTCTTTCTTTCCTTTTTTTGTAGATCGTTAAAAAAACAAAAAAAAAAAAACAAAAAAAAAAGTATCATCGATCGAGAATTCGACTTACCCGAAATACCATCGTAAGTCCACCATTCCTCCCAGCTTGCCTCGGATTCTGTAACAAGAGAAAAGAAAAAGAAAAACGGGATTACACTTCATTAGAATTCACTCTTTTCTCTCTCTCTCTCTCTCTCTCTCTCTCTCTCTCTCTCTCTTCTCGTTTAACGTTACCTACTACCGAAATTAGTGGGCTAACGTATATTGAATCGATCGGCTATCTGTGGTTTATCGACTTTTCGATATCGGATCTACGCGTGGTTGATATCAATCATTTTTTTTTTCTTTTTTTTTATCTTTTTTTTCTTCTCTTTCTCTTTCGCTCTCCCTCTCTCTTTCTCTTTCTCTCTCTCCGACTAACACGATATCCTGTTAACATCGAAATGTTGGGTACTTTTAATTAACCGAGAAGTAAGTTTAGCCGTGCATACGTGTGCAAGGTTAAAAGCTACTAGATTTATAGTCTTTTTCCTAATTTTTCTTTTTTATTATTATTATTATTATTTTTTTATTTGTTCTTTGTTTCCACTTTTTTTTCTTTTTTTTTTTTTTTTTTTTTGAACCGAACATATAACACGAATTGTAAAATACTTTTATGAAACGAGATTTATTAAAGAGGAGAGAATGCTATAAATATATTTTTCATCATTTTTAAAAAGCGAATACATACGCGCGCGTACACGCAGGCCTGCTTCCATGAAGTTGTATTAAAAAGTAAGACATTGCATATTTAATGTTAATTAAAAGTAGTGCGAAAGAAAGAGAGAGAGAGAGAGAGATAGAGAAATGGTGATGGTTGTGGTGGGAGGGAGGTAAAATCGAAGAAGAAAATGTTTGAAAGGAAAACTTGAAAGTTCCATCATTGCGGGAAACCGAAGACAAGGAACGTCGAATACAGACGTTACTTCTAATATCGATCAATCGTTCGGGAAAGATAGAAAGAGATGATTGATCTAACGATTTTCTTATCACCCAATGGTCTCGAAAATCTCTAACGGAACTTGATCGGTATCGCGTGGTTTCATACACCTCGAGCATGCCGAACTGACGTCTACGATTTAATCCTCTCTCTCTCTCTCTCTCTCTCTCTCTCTCTCTCTCTCTCTCTCTATTTTTCTTTCTGTCTTTCTTTAAAAAACCAAGTATTTACTCGTTCGACCAATCATCGATCTGATCATATGTCTGATCGATGTCAGTTCTTGTTTAAAAAAATTTTTCTTAAAGTGAAGAAATTATTTTTCCTTTTTTGATTTCATTCCTCCTATGTCTGGTCGATATTTTTATTCTTCGACGTTAATAATATTTTTGTTTCTTTTCTCTCTCTCTCTCTCTCTCTCTTTTTTTTTTTCTTTTTAATGGATCTCAATACAAAAATATCGTTCTCGTTTGTCTATAAAATAGATATTTCATTACGACGGTTTATTTTCAATTTGAAAATTGTTCGATCAGAACAATGTTATTTTGATCTGATCCTTTTTTTTCTCTTTTTTCTATCAATAAATTCGTATGCGATTAGCAATTCATAAGATAAATAGAACATCGAGCAGACATCTATCCATACGTTTCTCTATTATATATACATATATATCAATCTATCTATATATCTATCTATATATATTTATATAGACAAGTATAGCTCTATATATATATATATATATATATATATATATATATATATATATATTTCTCATTCCGTCTCGTTGGACCAGGTTATCGCACGACTCCTAGCACCGAAGTTGACCCATATTCGATTATCTGGACGCATGCTATTCAGGTTTAGTACTGCAAACTAATTGCCTTAAATTGGAAAACTTTCTCTGTACCTACTCTACCGATCTCCTCTCGAACATTCGATTGTCAATCTCTGTCAATTCCGTCGTTTTTTTTATATGTTACCTTTCCTTCGACATTTATGTTTCTTATTATTATTCATTTACTTTTTATTCTTTAGTTGAAGTAAAAGAAAAAAAAGAAAGAATTTATACATACACATATATATATATATATATATATATATATATATATATATATATATATATATTGTTGAATTATTCTCGGCATAAATCAAACGGAGACTAAAGAAAAAATATTTCTAATTAAAAAATTTACGACGTGTGAACCGTAAAAATGGCCTCTCAATTATATATATATATATATATATATATGCAAAGGAAGAGTGAAAATAAATCGTCCTATTTAAAGATTAAAAAAAAGAAGAAAAAGAAAAGGAAGGTCGATTCGTTTAAGGATAATAGATGTAATTGGTAAAACTGTTCAAAAACAAAAGAAAAAAAAGCAAGAGAGAAAGAGAGAAAAATTTTAATTGAAATAATATAATCGAAGGGAATTGTCAATGATGGATCATATATATCATGTGTAATTAGATTTTCCTATGACACGTTGTATGTATAGATCAATGTACGAAGATGAACGCAACGTACACACGACGACAAAATTACCGGCTAAATAATATGGATTTTGGTGCGTGATAAAGGGGCCGAGTTACGTACGGGGTGTCACAATTTAATCGATTTACGAAATTGTTCCGATAGAGATTGTTTCGCTTCTATCTTTTTTTTTATATATATATGTATATATATATATATATAAACGAAATCGTTTGGACGATTTACAAAGGACATTATTTATTACATGGCTTTGCGTCGCAGTCAGGTTTAAAATTTGTAACGATAGGTCACTTTGAAAATTGTTCGATATTTTTAGGTCGATTCGAGCGATTATTTCTTTTTTCTCTCCTTTTTCTTCCTTTTTTATATTTTCTCTCTCATAGCAAACACGCACATACACACATAGTCGAAATGACGTATACAACATTGGGATAACGATCGATTGCTCGAAGTTACATTTTACGTAGTTATTCGAAGAAAATAAAATAAACATCGTTCCTGATAATACGAGGAAACAAAATTTTTATTCAAAAAATCGAGAAATATTCGTACGAAATAAATATATCGTATCTGTTCAATAATGTAAATTATTCGATAAAAATGTTACATCAACGTATAAAAAAAAAAGAAAAAGAAAATGAAAGACACACGAAAGATTCTCGAACGTTCTAGTGTTGCAATGACAGAGAGAGACAGAGAGAGAGAGAGAGAGAGAGAAAGAGAAAAGAAGAAAATTTCTTGGGGAAGAAATTGTCAAAAGAAATTGAAAAAGACAAAGGGAAGAAGAGGAAAACGAAAAAGAAACAAATTTATCAGGAAAGAAAATTGAACGATAGGTAAAAGGATTGGATTGATTAAAACGGGACCACATTGTATATAGAGAAGCATGACAGGAGCAAACGCAGAGGAAACACGACAAGAGCGAAGCGTAATCGATGCATCGAGCGTAGCCGCGTATTGTCGCATTTCGATTAATCAATGGGGAAGAATCAGGCGGAGGGTAGACGGGATAATCGGTCACGACAAAGCGTGCCGCGAATAAAGACCGCTTATGCGATTGTCAAGCGCGTGTATTCGAACGTAGAGATACAAAGACACGTAATACGTATACACACATAGCTAACGTTTGATACTATATATAGAGAACTAGATGCTATTAAACGAGAATGCAACGGAGAATAATACAATCGAGGATACAATCGACGATCTTTTAACGCAGATGAAAACAATTGTTTGGAAAAATGAAAAGAGAAAAAAAAAATATATATATATATATATATATATATATATATATATTTGTGTGTGTATGTGTGTGTGTATGTACAGCGATTGTTGACGTTCAAGGTTTATCGAGTATCTTCCGTAAATTGCAAAAGCTCATTGTATTTCTATGCGAGTTGGTTATATACCTAGATATATATATATATATATATTTTTTCAAAGATGAAAGAAGAAGAAGAAGGAGAGAAAAAAAAGAAAAAGGGAAATATACTGCAGGGGTACATTCTCGTTGTTCGTTTTAAGTACCGAACCAAGGCTAGTATACCAAAGGCGGCCGTGTTGAAAGTTAGCGTGTAGGAAGTGTATAGGATACGTTGGATGAAAAGAGTGAGATCATAAATCATTCCGTAAGAAAACTCCAAGATAGTTTCGGCATCTTTACTTATATGTTGGTGTTGGTATCTATGTAGATGGGGGACTACCAAGACGATTCGTGCGCACGCGCGAGCAAAATTCTTGGAGTCACAATGCTTATGTAATGTGAAAAAGAGAAAAAAGGAAGAAAAAAAAAAAGTTTCTTAGTAAATAATATATATTTTATTTGCAAACAAATAAATGGATTAACGATAGGCGAATATATGTTTTCATACGTTGGCTCGTTCCCTTGTTCGTCAATTTCTATTTTATCCCTTTTTGTCCCGATCGAAGAAAGAGAAAGAAAAAAAAAAAAAAAAAAAAAAAGTGGAGGAGAAAAAAGAAAAGTAAAAGAAAAAGTCGTCTTACGAAAAAAGATCCTTCGCTGTCTCTTAATTGGCTTCGATTCGACGTAAAAGCGCGCCGAATTTACGAGATTTCCGCTTGGCGTGATTGAAAGGAAGCGTTGAATCAACGGAAGATTCGACTCGGACAAAGTCGGCTAACTGATAATTCGGTTAATGGGGAGTTGGAAAAAGCTTATTGGCTTTTATAACGGTGACTTGGTACCTACTCTTTTCTTGATCTCTCTCTCTCTTTCTCTCTCTCTCTGTCTGTCTGTCCGTCTGTCTCTCTCCATCTTATTTCTCGCTCGAAAACGAACCAAGAGTCGTTTTGTTGGATCACGTGCCGGAAGAGTCGTACGAACCATTGCCTTTTCGCACGCTCGATTTCACGGATTTCAGTTCTACGTGAGATTAATAAAATCCGTCTGTAAGTCCTTAGAAAGAAATGTCCACGAAAAGGAATAAGGAGAAAGAGAAACTTCGTTTTGTCGGTCCTTCTCGTTCTTTCTCGTCTTCTTCGTCCTCTTTTAGTTTCTCTTCCTCAATCCTCTTCCTTTTCTTTCGAAATCGACGATTATAGTTTCGACGAGCCGTGAAGAGTGAAAAAGAGAGAAAATGGAAAAAGGAAGTTGAGGCATATCGTTGAACGTAGAAACTAACGGTTTGAA